CCACCGTCCGGAAATAGAAGTGTGCTAGATAGAAGAGTTGCCTAAAAATAACTATGCAACTATTAAGGACATATATATTTCATGAGTTCTCTCAATGTTTGGCAACGTGGTGGCTAAACGGAGCAAGGGGTGAGGACTTTCATAGAGAAGAATTTCCTAGCTGACTCAGCAACTCACTTCTCCATATTTTTGACACTAGACCAGGGCTTTTCAACCTTTTCACCCATTGTACCAGTTTTAGGATATGGCAACATCCGAGTACCACCAGTCGCCTAGCAAGGGGTCAAAAACTTGATGACAAAAAAAAAGAAAAAAGAAAAAAAGTGATGAAGTACAGGTAGTCCTCGACTTACAACAGTTCGCTTAGTGACTGTTTGAAGTTACAATGGCACTGAAAAAAGTGCCCCCCAAGCCACAGCCGAGCAAGATACCTGCCTGCCCGCCCAGCGGCGCTCTTCCTCCTGTCCGAGGTTTTCATTGTTGTGAGCATTTCTGTTGAGGATTGGCAGCGGGGGGTGGGCTGGGGGGGTGTTTTGTTTTTATTCCCCCCGTCTGCTGGGTGGTTGCATCAGGTTTTGGTCACTTCACATGACCCTGGGACACTGTGACCGTCATAAATATGAATCAGTTGCCAAGCATCTGAATGTAAATCACAAGACCCTGGAGATGCTGCAACGTTCCAGCTGATCGGCGCTTCTTCTGGGCTCAGCAGAAGCACCAGGATCAGCGCCGAGCTCCAGCTGGAGCCTGGTGCTGATCCTGGCGCTTCCGCTGAGCCCTGACAGCCCTGCAGCTCCAGCCGTCTCTCGCTCAGGCTTGTGTGGTGCTGCCACCAGTTCAGCTCATTCCCCTCCCCCGCTACCACTTTTCTAAGATGTTCGCATACCACCTGCCAGGTGCCCACGTACCACAGGTGGTACCCGTACCACTGGTTGAAAAGCCCTGATCTAGTCCAACCACTTGCTCAGGAAACCCTATACCAAATGGTTGTCCAATCTATTCTTAAAAATCTCCAGTGTTGGAACACCCACAACTTCTGGAGGCAGGTTGTTCCACTGATTAATTGTTCTAACTGTCAGGAAGTTTCTCCTTAGTTCTAGGTTGCTTCTCTCCTTGGTTAGTTTCCGTCCGTTCCTTCTTGTCTTGCCTTCTGGTGCTTTGGAAAATAGGTCGATCCCCTCTTTTTTGTGGCAACCCCTGAGATACTGGAACGCTGCTATCATGTCCCCCCTCGTCCTTCTTTTCATTAAACCGTTCTTCGTATGTTTTAGCCCCCAGTCTCCTACTGACCACAACTGACTTTGTGAGACTCAAGTCCTACCTGCTGGCAAGGTCAGAAATTCTACGAAAGCTTCCTTTTTTTCACGTTGCTCCAAAGGCAGCTGCCAGGGCATCTGATGGGGCTTGGCCAAAACCTTGACCTTGTAGGCCATGTTGGGTTTCAAGTTAAAAAACTGATACTTGTAAGTGGCAGCCCGTACAATGTCAAATTCCTCTTCGTTGAGGAAGATCACGTGACTGTAGTTGCTGTTCGTGGGAAGCCAGGTGATCTCCGCCGAAATCTGGGTGACGCTGTCGACCTGAAGGTGTGAAGGTGCCACAATGACATCTTTCCCAACCAACAAGGTGCACTGCAGTTCGTCGGAATTGCCCCGGCTGGTTATGCTTTGAACGGATATCCGGTAAGTGCAAGTAGCGATGTTCAATTTTTCGATGAGAGCTTTAGTTTTGCTCCCCAAGGGGACGTTCGTTCGTACTTCCTTGTCTACCAGGACGTTGTAGCTATGAATGGTTCCCCATCCAGGTGGCATAACTGGAGCTTCCCAGCCCACAATGACACTTTTGGCTAATTGTTTGATAAGGGTAATTTTTCGAGGGTAAGGCACAATGTTTTCTCCAATCTCGTCAATGTTCACATCCAGAGTTCCTGCACCATTATTGAGAATGCCGGAGTCTAACTGGACCGGTAAGCTGATGTCCTGGAGGCCTTCTCCTTCCACCAGGTGACTACTGTGGTTGAGGACGTTCTGCTCTGCCTCGCCGCCCAACCCGCAGGATAAACGAGACTCATCCTGCACAAAATCCACAAAGTTGGAGGGAACCAATCCTCTCTGTCCGTCTAGAAGTTCACCTTGGGGAGAAAGAGATATGAGAAAAGGAAGACATATACTAGCCATGTTCCCAGGACATGAAGACCCTGTCCATCCCCTCTCCCAGCCAAGAGTCATCTACTGCAGGGGTCTCCGACGTTGACAACTTTTAAGATTGTGGACTTCAACTCCCAGAATTCCTAAACTAAAGCATGGCTGGTTGACGAATTCCGGGAATTGCGCAAATCTTAAAAGTTGCTAAGGTTGGAGACCCCTGATCTACTGACAGCCCAGAATTGGGATCATTGGAACTGCAGCAACCATGTCTTTTTAGTCCTCTGAGAATTCTTACTTCCTGCCCATCGTCCCTTTTATTGGCCTTTTTTCCAAGCAAGAAGGAGAGAAAGAAAGCCACCGCAGCTCAGGGTCCCTGGAGACAAGTTTGAGGGGAGTCTCAACCACCTCCCCACCATATCTGATCCTTTTTCAGTCTGTCTAAAACCTTACCGTGGGGCCTCTCTAGGGTTTGAATGAAATCTTGAGATTTAGTTAATTAAAGTGTTGCTGGTGATAGAAACCAGGGACACTAGCTTCAACATTTTATCAAACTATTGGGGTAGAACATAGAATCATAGAGTTGGAAGAGATCTTGGTGGTATTCTAATCCAACCCCTGCTCAAAGCAGGAGCCTTAAACCATCCCAATCAAATGGTTATCCAGTCTATTTTTGAAAACCTCCAGCGATGGAGCACCTACAACTCCAGGAGACAAGCTATTCCATTGATGAATAGTTCTTAGTGTCTGAAAATTTCTCCTTACTTCTAGGAGAATCCCCTCTTCTCTGTGAGAAACCCCCAAGTACTGGAAGACTGCTATCATGTCGTCCCTAGCCCTTCTCTTTTTAGACTAGACAGAGCAGGGGTCTTCAAACTTGGCCCTTTTATGACTTGTGGACTTCAATTCCCAGAATTCCTCAGCCAGCGTGGCACGCTGGCTGAGGAATTCTGGGAGTTGAAGTCCACAAGTCATAAAAGGGCCAAGTTTGAAGACCCCTGAGGCATGGACTCAACCATTCATCGTATAAACTAAGTGCTGTGCTTAAGAGAATGCCCGCAAAGCTTCAATGTACCTCAAGGGGGGAGCTATTTAAATAAAAATATGCCAATCAAGGGACTGCTAGGGCCCCGTCTCCAACAAACCTTCAAAAAAGCCATCTTCATCCATATCTCCGTACACGTAGAGATATTTTCCTGCGGTTAGTGGAAGTTCTGCCTCAGGGTTCTCATTCGGCCCATCAAACGGATTGTAGCTGAAGGAAAACACAGATGGTGATTCTTCGTTGGACTTTTTCATAAGGAGGTCAAATAAAGGCAAAGGTTTTTCCTGTCCAGTCGACTCTGGGGTGTGTGTGTGCCTATCTCTGTTTCTTGACCGAGGGAGCCAGCATTGTCCGAAGACATATTCCGTGGTCATCTGGCCAGCATACACCAAAGATTATACACGGAATGCTGTTACCTTTCCACCGAAGTGGTACCTATTTATCTACTCGCATTTGCATGCTTTTAAACTGCTAGGTGAGCAGGAGCTGAAGCAAGGAACGGGAGTGTCATGTGTCTGAGTAACGAAACACTTAAAAGGACTTTCAGGCATGTTTTCTCCTGAAAGCATTTATTAAGGTCACAATACGTCAGCACAGCATGGTGGAATGCTTAGGTCTGCTTCTCTTCCGTTACGCATAACATTCCAAGCATTTTCCACTCCCTTATTGTAAGGTCATGGTTCACATCTTCCAATCAACTTGGAAGATGTGATTTACTTCCGGTTTCTTTCTCCTGGGCTATCCTTATGCTCCTCCCTCTTTCCCAGTTGCTGGTTTAACTATATATATATACCAGACAGTTCTGCACATTGTCAAAGCAAGAATATACAGTATTTGCAGCGTTGACAGGGAGCTCACCCCATCGCATGGCGCTCAGGTCTCAAACACAAGCTATCTGCTGATAAGCTAAGTGTCTTTCATCACCCAGCTATCGTGCCCCTACTCATAAAGAGGAGGGCACCATTAATAACTAACTGCATTCAGATATTGGGCAGAGATATTATTTTGGGCTTGAAGTTCTGAGAAGCTAATCATTGTGGCTTAGCGTTATGACTCAACTCTTATGTCTTATTCAACATAATCTGGTTGAAAAAAAAACAGTTTAGCGTCATGGAGGAAGACAGGCGTTGTCAATTTTTGAAAGGAAGTAGGTCAGAGAAGGAAGAATTTAAAACTAGTACAAATTTAAGGTTGAAAGCGTTTATTGGACGGGTTGCTTTACCTGTATCGGGCGATGCAAAGATGGACTTTCCCCGAATATCTCGGCTTTGAGGTATTAGAATTCTGTTTGTTCTCCATCTGCAATCAGAACATGAAGAAGATAGTAAACAGGATGAATCGTCCACCTACACACGTCAACTTATACAAAATGGGATCCCAAACTGGGTCTCATGAGAGATTAAGCATTCGTGAAAGTTTGAACACCATCTTATCTATTTAGGAAAGTGATAATTTGAGAGAGAGAGACAGAGAGAGACAGAGACACAGAGAGACACACACACACAGAGAAATATAGACACACACACAGAGAGAGAAATAGACACAGAGAGAGAGAGAGAAATAGAGACAGAGACAGAGACAGACAGACAGACAGAGACAGACACACACAGAGAGAAATAGAGAGAGACACACACAGAGAAATAGAGAGACACACTCAGAGAGAGAAATAGACACAGAGAGAGAGAGAGAGACAGAGAGAGAGACACACACAGAGAGAAATAGAGAGAGAAATAGAGAGAGAGACAGAGAAACAGAGAGAGAGAGAGAGAGAGAGAGAGAGAGAGAGACAGAGACAGACAGAGACAGAGACACAGAGAGAGAAATAGAGACACAGAGAGAGAGAGAGAAATAGAGACAGAGAGAGAGAGAAAGAAATAGAGAGAGAGAAATAGAGAGAGAGACACACACACAGAGAGGGAGAGATTAAGCATAGTAGCTTATGCAGAGATGCTAATAAGGAATTGAAATTGGCTAAAACGAATTGCATTGACCCTAAATTGGTGACTTTTCTTTGGAATCATTCTTCTAGCCTTTTAAGATTGATGAGATGAACAATGACAATAGGCATTCAGAGCCTGGGGGGCGGGGGGGGGGGAAATCCCAGCAAAGAGAATTGCTAGATTTTGCAATGCAAGAGACCTGCCTGATCCATTTAGCTTATAACTGACACAACCCTTATCGGCAATTAATTTTGGAAGTGGAAGGCCACTTTCAGGAATAAGAAGATAATCCTGTTTCTGCACATTTTCTCCCTAATTCCATCAACTGGATGGGGGTTTTCTGTTGCTGATTCCTAAGCCATTTTGGGAAGTACAGCTTGAATCTTCTGCATGTAAAAATCCGTGAACAGCCACTGATAGAGACACGGGTTAAATCAAATTAAGGTGATACACACCATTTACTGTCTGTGAGGTCATTGGTGCTTTCTGAGCTGGGTGGTTTTGCTGCAGAATGTTTCATTACCAAACTAGGTAACATCATCAGCGCTAGAAGGGAAGGGTTTTTTTCCCCTCTGTTTATATACAAGCAGTGAACAATGCCCAGTCAAGAAACTACCAAGTTAGACTAACAAACAGTAAACAGCAGCCTAATTAAGAATACTCCCATCAACACTGACAGGGCAAGGGTCTGATATAAAAACAGAGAGCAAAGCCCACTGCCTTCTAGCACTGATAATGTTACCTAGCTGGGTCATGAAACATCTGCAAGAAAACCACCTAGCTCAGAGAGCACCAAGGACTCCACAGTCTTCTTCCTCCTCCTAGCACTGATGATGTTACCTAGTTGGGTCATGAAACATCTGCAAGAAAACAACCAAACCTGGAAAAGAACTAAGGACCCCACAGTCGTCGTCCTCCTCCTCCTCCTCCTCCACCCTTCTAGCACTGATAATGTTACCTAGCTGGGCCATGAAACATCTGCAAGAAAACCACCAAGCTCAGAGAGCACCAAGGACCCCACAGTCCTTCTCCTCTTCCTCCTCCATTCCGTAAATCCCATTCCCTTCTAGCACTGATGACGTTAACAAGTTGGGTCATGAAACATCTTCAAGAAAACCACCAAGCTCAGAGAGCACCAAGGACCCCACAGTTCAGCCCTGAGCTACAAATATTCTCTTCTATCAGTTTGCTCTCTCTATCATCATTCATTTTCAGCAAAGTCACTTGCTTGCAGTTAAGGAAGGCGCATCATCTACATACGTCTGATTCAAATCTGCATCGTGGGCTGCCAGAACGCGAGCGGACCAGGAAAGCTGGTTTGATGGAGAGTTGTTCTGGCTTGTCACCAGACGGCTGCAGGGGACGTGTATATTCAGAGATCACAAACTGGCCTCGGGAGGGACTTTCATGACCTGCACGGAAAAAGCAACCACATCACTGAATGTCACACGGGTTGCCCTGCAGCAATTGTAGCTGAATAGGCTATCAAAATAACAAAGGCAGGAACAACCTTGGATGATTCTGAAATAATAGACACCATCTTTCTCATTTTTTGCAACGTTTGCCTTTTTTTTTTTTTTTTTTTTTTTAGAAACCAACTAGATTAACCCAGAATTGGGCAACAGCCAAATTGAATAAAACTTTGAAAAAAACAAAACAAAGTATGACTCAAAGTCGTCTCCTCCTCCTCCTCCTCCTCCTCCTCTTCTTCTTTCTTTCTTTCTTTCTTTCTTTCTTTCTTTCTTTCTTCTTCCTCTTCTTCTTCCTCCTTCTTCTTCTCTTCCTCCTCCTCCTCCTCCTCCTCTTCTTTCTTCTTCTTCTTCTTCTTCTTCTTCTTCTTCTTCTTCTTCTTCTTCTTCTTCTTCTTCTTCTTCTTCTT